GTCTGGAAATTTACAAAAGATCCTGCCAACTAAACTATCTGAGGCCTTTAACCATAGTCAGTCCTGCCCTGAGGCAAGGTGAACTGAGGTATACACTAGGAGGGCCCCTCCAGGCTCTATCTGCTTGCTGTAGGAAATGCCGCAGTGGAAGACAGGCAAGCAGGACTCCTTGGAGGAGCAACCACACCGCCCCACCATCTCACAGAGCAAAAGGCACCTGCCCAAACACTTGTTTTGGTGCATCCCCAAATCAAGAAATTGGGTAAGCAAGCAGCTTCTCTGGAGATCTCTATCAGTTGCATAAAGTGCCTGACACAACTCTCTAGAGAAGTTGCCTGCCCGATCTCTTCTATGGAGACCTTTCCCGGAATGAACAATTGGGCAAGCAGGGGGCCTCCCATGTGGTATCTGAGAGGGTCCCCCAGATAAGACAGAGGATGGCTGACCTTTCTGAAGAGACACCCAGGCCTAAATGGCATGTTCTAAGGGGCCTTTCCTCACAGCATGGCTATACGAGATGGTTCTGGAAACCTCCTGGTATAGAGACTACTCACAAAGACCACCTCCAGGCCCACTCCATAGTGTTCTGATTTGACAAAGAACTTTTCAAAATGTGGCATTTGAGCCTAGCAGCTTCTCCAGAGAGGCCACCTGCCTCATCAAGGCAAGAAGAGGTGAGTATGTGTCGTCCAGCCTTTGGCAGGAGGACATCTTGCATCACCAATACCTTTAATCTTCCTCTAGAGATGTCATATACTTCCCATTCCATGCTAAAGTTTACACTGACCTAAAACATGTAGTGCAACCCTGTACATACTACTCCGAAGCAAGTCGTACTGGGCATATTCATATGGTATGTTAACCCACCCTGGAAATAAGTCACAGTTGGTTAGCTGCATGCAAAACCCACAGTGAACACAACAGATTAACCAGCTCACCATGGTTGTTGGCCCCATCCTTCTGTGGACATCCAGGGAGATAATATGGGAGGAATTTTGAATTGTTAACTCCCCACTGCTGTTCTCGCAAGCAACTTCAGGCTCACTGCAGCATTTTTTCTTTTAACTTGTTCTTTTTGGGAGATTCTAACAACTGGCTGTCAAGCTGGCTTTCACAATCTTCATTTGACAGCTATATGCAGTCCCTTCAAAGGGTTCCAGCAGCACCTTGGAGGGACTGCCTGCAGATGTCATTTTTTTTGCACAAAATATTTTGCAACCCCCCTTCCCACTTTAAAATAAACAGGTGCAGCCGAACAATTCTGAACATTCACAGTTGTGTAACTGTGGAGATTTGAATCCTCACCTGGGACAATGTCCTGGGCAGTATGCCTGTTGCCAAGGTAGAGCAGTATCACTCCTGAATATTGCCCAAAAGAGGCTCCAAATTCATTTTTTGTTTCCTTTGTTTTTTCTTGACAACTGTTAGAATGCAAGCTATGGAGAAAAAGCTGACTTACATGAAATAAGGGCTTACAGGGGCAGGGGGAAGATTTAAACTCCCTTTGCACAAAGATCCTTTTCATCCTACCCACTACCCTACCTTGTTAGTCCCCATGCCAGTGCACATTTTGCACTTTGTCCCAAGCCTTTAGATGCTCAGGAAAATGCAAATGTGCACTCTCAGGAAAGGAGACGATCCTTTCAAAGGGGGATTTTGACAAAGCTATGGGTGGTTTTTGACTGGGATCTATGTGTTTGGATCAGTTAAAAAACAAAAATAAACATTGTACACACAAAACACCTATTTTAAAGAGAACCAGTTTTGCCAACTAGTTGTCAAAGATTTCAAAACTCATTTTTCCTAGAAAAAGGGGGTGCACTTTTCTAAGCACCTAGAGGACATGTACCAGGATGGGGACTAATTGATGGACACCAAGATATGTGGGGAGGGAGATAAGCATCTTGCTGCAAAGAGGTTTTCAATGTTCCTCAGGCATCTTTCATAGTTAAAAATAGCCACAGTGTTGGCTTTTCTTGACAGGTCACCTTCTGTTAACTGTAAAGAAAAACTCCCCTAGACATAGTCCCAGGTAAGGCTTCAAATCCCTGAACTAGTGCGAATGTAAAGATATGCAATTGAACAAGTGCAGCTTATTTTAAAATTGTGCACAATATTTTGACAAAGAAAAATATAAAACTATTGGCAACTGTAGGCAACCCCTCCAACATGGCACTGAAGCATTCTGAAGCAACTGCCTGTAGCTGTCAAAATGGAGATTGCACAAGGTGGCTTGATAGGTGGTTACCCAGTAGCCCCATGACAAGAATAACAAGGGGTTTTTTACAGCACTTGACATGGCATTGTTAGCCAGTTCCCTGTACCCATAATGGGATTGGGTCATTCATTTGGGTTTGGACAAAAGACAGTTCACTGTGAGTACTATAAACCCCACAATTCATAGGTTGTTAGGATGGCTTGTTGCCCAGGTACAAGCCACCCTGAGGAAAATGGTCTAGGTTGGCATAACAGTACAACCCACTGTGTATAGCAAACCATAATGTGTTGTTTTGTCATGAGAACACAGTCATTGTGTCTGTTGATGTTACTAATAATAAGAAATATCAAAGCAGATTTTGAAAAAAATATACCTGTTTTATACATGTTTAAGAGGCACCAATTCAAAGTGCATCTCAGCAGTGTGAGCATGAAGACATATTCATTTGAGTCAGGAATGGGTTGCTGAATTATTTACTTTAAAGAACATTAACAGCCCACTGACTTTTTCCCTCTGATATGCGCTCACAGACACTTGATTAAATAATATGACTGATTTCACAAATTCACAAATCACAAATCAATTTTGCAACTGATTTCACACACAACTTTTCTGGTGGGAAGTGATGTTTGTTGAATACAACTTGAAGTAGCAGTGCACTGAAAGAGAGTGTTGAAATTTTTCAGTTACTGCTTCTTTTAAACTGTAATGCCATACCAACACCTCACCAGGCAACTTATGATTCAGTGCAACCACATACAGGTCTAGCAGCATGCATGTAGGTGGAAATTTCAATGTGGGGTGTGTGTGTGTGTGTGTGTGAGAGGGAGGGAGGGATATTTAGACTCTCCATCCATTCTAATCCAATTAAGCATCTAGAAGTCCAAAGCAACCCCAAATATCTTGCAGCATGCCCACTGGTGGTAATCTCAATGTAGTCTTGAATGAATTTTTTTGTCTCACTCATCATAGTGCAATTTAAAATCCAGAAGAAGAACTTCCATGTAATTCAGCCTTACTGTATTAACAACAATGTTGAAGATTACTAGAGTGGGCTCCCTCTCACTGTTCACCCCATTCTGCAAATTAGTGATGTAGGTAATGAACAGGCATGGTCCAACTCACAGGATTCTTCTAGCAATACAGTAAAGCTCAGAAGCTCCATAGAGCAATAAAAGACCAGGCCAATGTGTTGCATCTTTGTTGATCCCAGGCACTCCATCCTCTCAAACTGAATTGGGATCTGAAAGACCAAGGAAAAGTGGGGTTAGGTGGCAGGTAAATTGTAAGCAAGTTCAACTTGTGATATTGTATAACATCATCACTGATTACAGGGAATATCAGCCTTAGCTTCCAATTTCTTGGCTTTCTGGCATTTGAACCAACCTAAATGAACCTGAACATGTGTCTTTCAAACTAGGATTTTAAAAAATCACTGAGCTCTACAATAAGTAACTTATTCAGAGTGGCTAACAAACTTAACAGAATGTTATACAAAAATTCCAGTCAGAAAGACATAGGAATGCATGCTTAGTTCTCAGTTAAATCAACATAGATTAAGTCACAGCTAACTAGTCATGTTGCTTTCATTGGGGCTGGTGTACAACTAACTTGCAGTGCAATTTACAGAGAACTACTCAAAAGTAAGTCCTATAAAAAGCAATTAACTGTACTCCCAGATAAATGTGAGTAAATTTACTTTCTTAGCTTCCAACTCAGTATTTGTTTCTAATACTGGAGTATTTTAACACAACTCTGGAGTTCCTGTTAAGGTGTCCTTTGACAATAGAAAATAAATTAACCAAGTGTCAATTAGAACTAATATTTTGAAGCAAGGAGATACTTACCTCGTGTTTGAAAAACAGGACACCAAGATCGTTGTAACTTTTCACATCCTAAAAACTACAATCTCCATTCAAGAATCTCTATAAATGTTTTAACCGCCAGTATTCTAAAGAGAAAGATTCTCGAGAAATGTAGCTACAGCTACATTCTGTCTGTAGCTACCTAATGACTATTTAGTTATTCTGAAAACTCAGATCTAGAGATCAAGACAAGAAAAAGCTTATCGTGTTTAAATATTTCTAGGTTTGCATTTATAGAAATACACATTAAAAATGAGGAGCACGTAACAACGGTACGTACCTTGGGAATGAGAATTGTTAGCCATGTTGGATTGAAACAGACTTCAGATTAGAAAATGGACAGGGAAAGACAGCACGCAAAAGTTTGTCAGGAAGTGTCTCAAGAATGAAACGCAATCCTTTAAGAAGCAAATGCTCCCAAGTAAATGCATACAGGATTGCAGCCTCCAGCCATAAATTCAGCAAGGGCAACTTCCTTCCCCTTCAGAAATAATTACACCGAAGTAAACCCATCTAGGGTGATCCCTTACTGCAAAGCGGTTGTACTTGGGGGTGCGGTGAAGGACTCGGAAAGGTTTGTGCCACAAAGTGAAGAAAACGTTTCTGCTTTTCTGCCAGAAAGAGCATTCCGGTTTTCCCTCAACTCAGCGTGTCTTTATAATCTAAGGAGATAGTTATTGTCCTATTTTTAATTTTTTCTGGGTGGAGGCACAGTTCCCTTTCCCAAGCGAGAGACCCCCCCCCCCCCAGGGAAACGGAAAGAAATGCCAAGCATAACCACCATCCTCCCAGCTACCTTTCCCCACGCCCGCCCCGCCGCGCAGCCGAGGAGGAGGAGGAGGAGGAGGAGGAGCAAGGCAGCGCGCGGGCCACTTTTAGCGGGGAGCGGTTTCAAGAGGACGCGCCGGAAGCTGCGCAAGGCCTCGGCCGCCCCGGACGTGCTCCTAACGTGGTTTGAGAAGTCGGTGTGGGGTTGCCTCGGCCTGTCCTGGCGCCGGTTTTGTCTTCCTTGCGTAATGGGGGCCGGAGGGTGAGTAACGGTCTTAACCGTCCGGGGTTCAATTTCGACTCTGGAGTTGGGGGTGGGGCACCTGCCTTTGCTGGCCATGCTACGGGCGTTCCGGTGTTTCTTCGCTACCTGGTCAGGTGGGAGTGGCGGGAGAGCTGCTGATGAATTTCCTTCGATCATACTTGGTTTGGGTTGAGTCCGACGTGTGAGATCTACCAGAGTGACGACCTTACATTTGCTGCATGTCTGGGTGGCTATCTCCACGTGAGGATTTAGCTGCTTTTGCGTGTTTGCGTTGGGGTGGAGAGGGACGACTTTGCATGTTATGATATTCATTTATTGATTGGGGTTCCATGACATGTAAAGCCATGGCGTTTTAGTGTGTTGTCTAAATCCAGCATCTTTCCCCATAGGGTGGCTTTGGAGCGACAAAACAACCCCAACAATCCATGTGCCATCTGATCCTAAATGATACATCAAGTTTAGGGCAAGCTCAAAAACCTGTAAAGCCACTCGCCAAGAGTAGCAGTTAAGCTTGCCTCTCTTGCAAAGTGGCTCCAGTGATAGCTGCCCAAAGTATTAAAATACTAACCTGGGCATCATGTCGAGTTTGGGATACACATTAAGCTACCAGGACCTCATAGCCACTGTGGTTTAATATGTCGTGAACCCAGTCAGTTTATATGAGGTGATATGTGAATTCCTACTGTGTTTATGTCAGTGATCATGACTTTAGGACTGGTTTCTAACTAATACCTGTCATTTTAAAAGACTTTTGACAGGAAATAAAATGCTGCTTTTGTGGGGTGAACTTGAAAGACAGGCACAAGTAATTTTTGATGTTCGTTTTCAGATATTTTAATGTACTGGAGGTGAATCCATCAGGTGCAGGCTCTTAACCCTTGGAATGTTCGAGTATTAATGGATATTCAGTATGGCCGTTCCCCACTTTGTCATATGTGTGTTTCTGGGATATATCCATGTTCAGTTTGAACTGGGAAGACCCCTCTGAAAGAAAAATTATAAATGTTGATGCATTTTCTAACTATGTACATACAGAATGACTGTACAGAAGCAAGCTACAAAATAACTTGGGAGGATGCTGTTTTATTCATATCTTGCTTGTGGGATCCTGTGGGCAGCTTGTTGGCCACTGTGAACACAATGCTGGACTGGAAGGACACTTGGTCTGGCCCAGCAGGGCTGTGCTCATGATCCTTCAAAATGTTATTTACAACTTATTTTCTTAGCTATAGGTACATAACATTCTGAGATCTGGTGACTATATAATGGACATAATCACTGTCTTTAAATGATTACCTGTCTCATTGATAGTTATACTTTCAATGCTGTACCACTAATGTCAGGTTATTGAGACAGTAATCTCATGCATGTCTACATAATTCCTTGCAAGATAGGCTATACAAAAAGTGTGCATTTTGGAGTTGCTCTCAAGTCCCTTACACAGCTGCATAATGTTAGCCAGTATAAGACAAATGTGAGTGGGTCTGTTTCTGGTAACAAAGGCAGTACTGCAGATAATGAAATAGATTTCCATGCTTCTACAAAGCTTTCTAGAATTTCAGTTTTGCTGTTTTATGCCCATCCAGTATGTCTTACTGCTTGAACCAGTTGACTGCATGCATGAAGTAATAGTGCCTTTCTGTACTGCTGTTGGCTGTACAACTTACCACTTTCAGGGCTTTTCCCAAAATTTATCAATATGATTCTGGCAACATAACTGTTTAAGCATTCAGAATCCTAAACATCTGATTCTAGATACCTTCTGGTCTTAAGAATATGTGAGGGATAATGCACATAGTTTCAGTACCCTATTGTAAAGATGTTGGGCAGTGTTGTTTCTGTTGTCTATGACCAGTAAAGTGCAATTGAATGTAATTGCTGGTCTTAACAGAATGCTCCCCATATGCTTAATGCTACTCCACAATGAATACTGTGTATTTTAACCCTATATGTTGATCATTAAGTAAATGTTACTTTTAAAAAATAATGCACCCAAATGGGTAAGATTTCTGTTGAAATGTCTTTTTAAGATAAAGCTAATTAAAAGGTATAGTGACTATGCCTTGCCCTGGAATCAATTACAGTATAGAAGCAACATATGTAACAACTTGGTAATACAGTGGTACTTCGGCTCACGAATGCCTCAGTTCACAACCAAATCGGCTCGCAAACAGAAATTTCAGAAAAAAATTGTCTCAGGTTGCAAACTTCACAAAAGGTGATGGCCACAATCACACCTGTCTTCCCTGTATGAGCACGATTACGGCTATCTCCCCCACCCACAAGGATGATCACTATCACACGATTATCATTTGGACTCTTTCTCCAAACAGTAACCTCCCTCCCACACAGGTTAGTGTTCTGTACTGTACTTTGTTACTTTGTTGTTCTTTGTTACTTTGTTTCATTTTTGTGATTGAAAACATTTACAGAACGAATCAACCTTATTTACATTGAATCTTATGGGAAAATTTGGCTTGGCTCGTGACCAATTTGGGTTGCGACCAGAGTCGTGGGACAGATTAAGTTTGTGAGCCGAGGTACCACTGTATATGCATATTGGATATATTTTAATACACTGTTCAAGGGTTGTGAGAAACACCTGGTGGATTTGTATTCCGCAGCTGCTTTTGGACATAATGTACCCTGTTTCCCTCTCCTCTGGCTCAGTTATGAGGAGGAGATTTAGAAGTTCTACCTCCGTTTTAGATTAAATGACATTCTGTATGTCCTCTGAAACCTAAACTATAGTTAGTGTTAACTAGTATTAGTGAAAATAAGCCAGCTTTGTAAACTGTGGGTTATTTCCACACTCGTAAAGGTTAGCCACCTTGGATTCAGATGACATGGGAAACTGCAGTCAATCAAAAACTGAAGTAAAGGCTCAGCAGGCAGGTAAATTATTCTAGCAAAGGCCATAAGTATATGCAGATTTCCTGGAGGCTGGGGAGAGACTATTCTAGTTTTCTTAACACAACATTATACATTGTTCTACCATTGTGTCTGAACTAGTGCATTATGTGAAAAAAGGGGGGGGGAACATAATTGTACTTATTTTCCAGGCGTACCCCTCTCATGGTTTGAGAAATCGTGGAAGTATTTTTTGATGCAAAGACAGTGGTGCGGGGGTTGGGGGAATCACTGGTGTTAGTTTTACCAGAACACATAACAGGACAGTATAATAATCCGGAGTTTCCAAATTCAAAAAGTTTATGGAGAAACATTTCCTGTGTAGCAAATTTCTGAGGGGATCCTCAGTTGCAAAACAATTACTACTTGGCTATGAAATTCCAACGAACCCTTGGTTCATATGGTGCTAAATATGTTTCATAACTAATCTGGATTTATATGTCTAACGTTTTTACCCTCATTCTTTATAAAATAATTCTAAACAGGAGCTACAAACAACACAATTCAGTAAAATAATGTGGCATGACTAAAAAAAACCTTTATAAAGCTAAAATTTATGGAATGTCATAACAAATCTTATAAATGTTCATGTGTTTATGCAAATCAATACATTGGCCATTAAATGTTGATTCCTTGATACTACTTGCACAAATGGTGATTGAAATTCTATAGATGTGTTTACCAACATTTAAGCTCATAACTGCATGTAAATTGTCTTTTTCCCCCAGGAAATATATTTGTATACCTGATAAAAAGTATTAACTGCATTTTCTTGAAAGAAGTGGCCAACAAAAAGATTGTGATACAGTACATTTATTACTCTTTAAGTTGCCACAACTCTGTTTTTAACCCCAAAAGATAAATTCTATAATGAGTTGCCTGAAAATGCTTTGTTTGAAAGTTCTGCCAAATTCTAAACAAATTCAAGATTTCCCATATGCTGTAGTTATCGGTGTTGAACCAGGACTAGGGGCACCTGGGTTCAAAACTCACTCAGACATGAAGCTCACTAGGTAATCTTGAGCCACTCTCAGCCTAACCTGCCTCACAGCATCGTTGTGAGCATAAAATGGGAGGGGATTATGTGTGCACCATGCTGCCATAAGTTCCTTAAAGAAAAGGATGTTTATAAATGTTACACATTTAATTAATACAGTTTTGGAACTGCCACCATTTCTTAACTGTTGTCACAGATTTTGATATAGAATCCCACTTACAAGGTATTATACCCACTTACATTTTAGACAGTGCCATTTAAGAGATGGAGTTGTGTTCTCACCCTGTCAGAATTATGTCTGTCCAAAAAGCTCAGCCAAGAATCAAGGCTGTTAGGTATTTATTTAACTGGACAGCATCTGAGTGTTTCCTTTCATAGGTAATACTGAAATTAAAATGTATGTACTTGGACTGTGCAATAAAATAGTTCTTCTATAGTTTCTCGCTAGTGACAATGATTCAATGGTAGCATAGATGACTTCATCTTTAGTACAGTGTTTCATAAGTTGGCTGTAAGCAGATCTTGGGTCATCAAGGTAAATTTTGTACATACCTGTGTTAGAACTTCACCGCACTGAGATTTTTAAAAACCTCAATTATACATCTCATTTGACAAAAGTACAGCTTTGACAACCTCCTATTACACAGATTTACAGACCTGGGCTTCTTTTGAAAAGGATTTGGGGGAAATTGGGAAATTTCAAACCAATTAGTCTAACATCTATCAAAATAAATCAGTGGGAAACATTAAAGTTAAAAGTAAGCCTTCCTGAGGAAGTAAATATGGCTTCTGCAAAGGGATGTCTTGTGTTTCCAACCTTTTGGATGATTTGGGTATGTTGGCAAACACGAAGACAGAAGCAGTCCAGTAGACACTGTATGATTGTACTTCCAAAACATTTTTGACAAGCCTGTCGAAACATTTTGACAAGTCCTCAGAACGGAGAAATATTAAAAAATGTCCCCCATGGGTTCATATTGGAATCAATGCAATTAAAATTCTTAGAAGAGAGCAGTGAGGTAGCTGAGTTAAACTGCATTATTCACATGGTGATAGACTGAATGCTCCAAGAGGATTTCTCCAAAGAGGGTGAATGGGCAACGAAATGGTAAGCAAGGTTCAATGTAAGTAACTGTAAAGGGATGCATGTTTGGGACAAAAAGAACTTCATCAGAACCAGTAGAGTCAGAACTGGTAGTAACTAAGAAGGAAAGAGGCCTTGAGTTAGTTGGGAGTTAAAACACTGAATGCATCATTTAAGCATATAGTGGTGATAGAAAAGGGAAATTCTGCAGATGGCTTGAACTATCCAACACTGCTAATAACTGCCTAAAATGTGGAAGGGTGTGCTCTCTTTAATTTTGAAGTAATTGATTTCAGTATAGTACTAACTAGCTTTTGTGCATTGTTTGCATACAGACTTCTATAGCTAGGTATTGATGCTTTTAATTATTCTCATTTCTGATCTCCCTAAAACATACTTAAAGTACAGTAGAAGCAGAAGGAATATTCCGAAACATGTATATAAGATATCTGAACTAAATAATTGTCATTTGGATTAGCCTCTTAAAAAGTCCAATCTGTGTAATCAAGATGATGGCGAAAACACTCATTTATTTAAGTATTCCATGTGCTGTGCCATCACATATCACAAATACCAAGTCAGATGTGTGTAATATAACAAACATGGTAATGGATTTACACAATCAGTAAAATGGTAGAATGCTATTGCTACACGCACATACTCCGATACATGTGGAAGTTCATTATAAATTGAAATGTGGATAAAATGCAGAACTAGATGCCTTTCCCATGGACTAGGTTGCACACAAAATTGTCATGTGGAAGAGAATAACTAGCTCTGTGCATTCCTGGGTTGTTTATGTTAGTTTTAAGGAGGTCATATGAACACTTCAGGCAATGCCAGCCCCTAGTTCTAGAGGGCTCTTAGGCAAGAAACCTTTGATAGCACCTGTTTAAAGTGAGCTACCTTTTCACCATCATGGCCACCACACCCTGTTGCTCCTCCTTTTTCTTATCACTGCTATTGCTTACTTGGCTGACAGGCAGAGAGCCAGTAAGCAAGGACACTGTTGTATCAGCTGCTCCTCCATCTCACCATCACCATTATCTGTTTTGGAGCAAGAGACAGGAAAATAGGTAGGTTGCTGTAGCGACAAAAAAGAACAAGCCCAGGAAGTGTTTTTTGGTGTGCCCTTGCTGAAGTGTGGGCAGTGCCTGACCATGCCTATTGCTTCCCAGCAGCCCTGTCTCCAGGGAAAAATTTGGCATTGATGTAAATGCATCCTTGTAAGTACATTATGCAGTCTTGCACTGTAACTTTATTGTATTACTTGATTTTGAAATGGCATGCTTCCTTAGTTTCATTCCAGAAGCAACTTAACACAGGTGACATCTGATTTGAACATCACACTGACTGAACTTCTAACCACTAGTAGGGGATACTAAGTGCCCCACAGACTCATGTGCTCCTCCCCTCTGTGCATTCCCCACTTTCCTTGATTACCTATGGTGCAGCATTTTAGGCCTAATCCAGTGTAATTTTGGTTAGTGTTTATGCTGCAGCATAATTAATAGTAATCAGGAAAAGGACAGGAAACAAAGGGGATGAACATGCAAGTATGTTTTCAGGAGCATCCACTCAAGCTATAGATAAGAGATTAGGCAATGCCATCTCAGTTGTATGTAATGGTTTTGCTCAGTGGTGCATACAACATTGACAAAGCTTTCTGCCTAACTTGCTGGCAGAGTATAAAGCAATGTAATTATTAAGGCTGAAGCAGGATGCCATATTGTGTCATGTTTACACCCAGTATAGGTATAGTTGGGTTGACATGATGCAGCACCTATTACCCTTTCTTGCTCAAATGTGTTAGCTGCCTTGTAGATAAAAGAGTGACAATATTTTCAAGATTTGTTGGATATATGAATGGATCGGTTGTTGACAAATGTGAACTTTCTGTTTCATTCATTGCTTTATATCAGGAGTGCAGAACCTCAGGCTTCAGATTCATACCAGGCCCTCCAGGGGGCTGTAGATGGTCACATTGCCTTCCTCTTTTCCTCACCCATCATTTGATGGCCTCCCAGCTTTTGTAAAGGTATTTCTCCATTCTGAAAGCTCATTATGCCTTTCCAAAGCTGATAGTACAACTTTAATAAAATAGGCTGGTATTACTTTCGGCTTCAGCAATACCCACCATTGAAAATCAGTCTCTAAACCCTCTGAAATGAAATGCAGCCCTCAGGCCAGAAGAGGTTCTACACCCCTGCTTTACATCCTTGCGGTTAGTGTGTGTGTCTGTGTTGTGTCCACCCTTCCCTCACACTTACTCACAAATTCCTTTAATCAAATAAACACCATCTCCTTCTACCCAGTCCAAAATATCTCCTTCCTTCTTTTGTGTGCTAAGTCTTGGCGTTGGAAAAAATGCTTATTTAATCCTTTTCTCTTCACTTCTTATTTTTCAGGATATGTGAAAAAAATCCTTAAGACTGTTGAAAATGTTACAAGTGACATGATAATTTAACCAATGCCTCAGAATGATGGATTACCAGAAGATTGGAAATGGTTTGCAAGTGACTGGTATAGGGGCATCTGCACTCCACATGGTGGGGTATATGGGAAAAGTCAGTTCAGTTATTTTTCACATTGTGCAAAGTTCTTTTTCCCCCTCCTAAATTTCAAAAGATTTTTAAATTTCTATTGGACTAATTTTGCTCTATGACCTAAAGTTTTTGTAAAGTTATTTTTCCACGGAAATCTTAATGAAATGGCGAAAGGTTTACTTTTTTCAAATGTTGCTAACTATTACAAACCGTTTTATGAAGACGTTTGTTCTAATACATAGATATTGGTTAGCATTCAGCATTGATAGGAAAGGCTATTTTGTAAATAAAATGAAAATATTGTTTGTTCTAATACAAGATTCTCATAAAATGTTATATTGGTTTCTGTGATGTCAAATTTAACTCTTCATACACAGAAATTACTTGTTTTAATATTTTGTCTTTCAGGAATAACACTTTTTAATGTGTTTTTATATCACTTTAGGATTCTAATGCTGCTGAAGTAACTCCAAGTGACTGCTGTCCAGCTTGCAAAAAGAAGAATCTGATAAAAGCTTTAAGAACATATCGCATAAATTTTGAAGAATCTATTTTTCTGTGTGAAAATCCCCAGGTATTTTTAAAAATAATGGGTTGGAACTTGCTCAGTATTGTTATGCCTTATTATTATTTTAAAATTGGGCATTTATGATGATTTAACAAATGGTTGGCATAACATTTCGTAACAGAGTAGTTCTTTGGTATGCAACATAACTGCTGGAAACCCAGGTCTCCTTAAAGCACAAGCAAATACTGATGGAACAGTCTATGTTGAAGAAAACTTGGTGCAATATGATATCATGGAAGCAGATGTAAAAAATAGCCAGCCCCATCCCATGATCAAGATCAGGTCCTGAAGCTCATGGATAAGTTACTAGACACTCTACTTTTAGAATGATATCCAAACCTGTAGTATTCCATTGATTTCTAGGTAAAGTTATTAAAGCCCAGTTGAAGAATATGAGCACTGTTTGCTAAATCCTTTTGCTAAATCATTCACAGTTGTATATATACTCTTTGTGACAATACACATTTGTAGAGTTACCATTAATTTGTACAGATATCTTTTTGTTTTGTTCTTTAAAGGGTTACTAATTTGTGTCATTAACTTACTAAAATTTGGGCTACTTTCAAAAAATATCTTATTTTAGAAGAATACTACTTAAAACTTACTGGTACTTTATTTAATTTTTAATTGGATGCTTATCTTAGATAGTCGTCGTTTCTCTGGGCACTTTTCTGTTTTGTGTCTGAAGTGTGCAATGCCTTCTTAATTTAACCAAATACTATAGGCAGGTCTAATGCCTGTTGTATGTCTGTCTTTCCTTTTCTCTCTTTTTCAGTGCATCTACCCTCTGGGATTTGAATCACTAAGCAACATTGTAATTCCCAATGATCCAAAAGGCTATCCAGCTCAGGCCACTTTTAAAAAAAGAAAGTTCTTTGACACAAGCCTGGTGACCTCTCCTGTAGAACCATGCATAAAATTGACAAAGACTGATAATTTGATGGACACAAAGCAGACATTGGAACCTGATCATGGCCCAGAGTGCAATGAAAATGATCTATTTAGGAGTCAGTCAGGGCAACCTGATTTCTCACAAGTCAAACGCCCCAACTTGTATAATGCAACTGAACCTGTGGAACAGCAAATGAGCTTGGAAATGGCAGCCCAAGAAAGCTTACCAGAGACATCCAGTATGCATGTACAGCTTTTGTCAAATTCTGAAATTGGTTCATCAGTGCCTCAAATTCTGCACCAAGATAGACCATTTCTCTCAGAGCCATTATGCCTTCACTGGAGGAATTCACATGCTCTTTGCTGGTTAGATTGTATTTTGTCAGTGCTAGTGCATCTAGCAACACTAAAAACAATTCAGACCAGTCCAGATTCAGGAAATACATCAATAATCAAGAGACTGTTTGCAAAATATGGCCAAGCAACTGCACTTGTAAATACTTATGGAAGGGGTAAGACAAACATTACTCATTTTTTCCTGTCAGGATAATTTATTTTTACAACAATTGGTGGGATCTGTAGAGTTCTGAGCTATTGACAGTTGAGATTAATTTGAAGTGTCACATACTACAGTAGCTCTTGCATTCTCGTTTTTCTGTAATCTGATTAGTATTTCTGGCATGTTTATTCATCTTTAACACTGGAAAATGGATTTTATGTTTTGTTTTTAAAAACTATATACACAAGTTACAGAAAGATACTTGATGAAACCAGCCCTAATGAACAATAGCCATAATGAGACTGTGAAATCTTTCCCTAATTTGATCGTTATTTTTTCCACCAGTACCTTGCCCAAGCAAGAGGCTTTTGTCCAGTTAGCACCATAGATGTTGATCATTCTTTCCCTGATTAAATCAAAATCTGCCCATTATAATAAGATATATGCATGATGACGATATAGCCCTGCTGTTTGAAGGCTAAAGTGTCACGACTGTGCTGTGCAACAACCTTCAAAGCAACAGTTATTTGCTTTGAGTTTGATGCTGTGCATGCAATGAATTTTCACAGTTTTAATTTCCAAGGGACACGTTTTATATATACTGGTCTGCTAAGAAACTATAGAATGTTCATTGTGCACTTCCAGTGCACTGGAAGAAAATTCTAGGGCATGTTCCAGCATACAGCTTGTTTGGGTAAAGTGCTAGGTATGCTTGTAGGGCCATAGCTTTGGTTTGCTTGAAGCATTAGGGGAAGGGTAATAGTGCTTTCAGGGATACTTGGATAGGATTGTCTGACACTACTCCTCTTCGGTATCTGGTAATCTTCTGAAAAACCCCATGGCTCTTGCAAATGGAGTTTAAACCCACTGTATGAGAGGTGGGGCATAGGTTTGTCCTTGGCAGATGTACTAGCTGTATGACTAGTTCATACACTTTGCATTTAGCCTTAGACAGATGTTCTGTGAAAGGCTGCATTAATATGAACAAGCAGTACTCTTTTCTTTGTTACTCGGTAATTAATTCTATTAGCCCGGCTTGGATCCAGCACTACCCAAGTGGAAGTCTCCTTGAATTACTGGATCACAGTGTCCCCTCCCCAGCCACCTCCAGGGTAGATTGGGATGCCTTTTTAAACTTATTTCTATTATACTATTTCAATAGAAAGAAAATGATTTAAAAAAAATAACATAGATTTGAATATATCAATTTCAGAGCATACATGAAGCAGACCAAATATCAACATGGGACCGTTGGGATGTATATATAAAGGAGAGCAAATCAGTTACACCAGCAATTTTCCTTATGGTGGTGGAGCAATACTGTGGGACCAAAGCCTTATACTGCCATTGCCTTCTACAAAGCAAATAATGGAATGTCATTTATTTAGTAGCATCCAGTTTCTATTGATACAAATTAGAAAATAGCCATTTTTGGAAAAACATGTGTTGCTAAATCAACTAATTGTTTAATATATGTACGATGTACCTGTCTTTCAGAAGTTCCTTTGGATGTTCTTACAAGAGCAGAAACTTACTTGAATGAAATCAGAAATCAAATTTTTGAGAAGCTTCAACCTAATCTTAAGTGTAAATTGGGTAAGTAATCAATGATGTTTTGGGGAGCTGAAGGACTTTATGAAATGTGGGGATTTGGGAATTTAACAGTTATTTTTCCAAATATGGCAGTAAACCAGTAAATTGCTAACCTATTGCACTATCATGTTTCCTTTGTCTCTAATAGCTTTTTTCGATCCAAAGAAAACCATTCCTCAAAGTTACATTCTAATATTTTGCAGTGCTCTAGCTTGATCTATCCATTGTCTGGAAACCTCTCATTGTTATTAGCTTCAGATAAGACTCTGGTTTCAGTGTTTTAATGCCTATGCAGGCTAGCTGTTTTCTATGCCACTGATTACTCAGGCATAAGGAGAGCTGTACTGAATCCATCCAAAGGTCCATGTAGACCAGCATCCTGCTTTCTGTAATGGGCAGCCAGATGCTACAGGGAGACTCTGAAAATGAACATGAAGGCAATGGCCCTCAAGTTACAAGCATGAATTGCCATGATGCTTCTGAATATAGAGATGCAATATAGGAATATAAGACTAATAAGGCTGTGCCCTGATACTAAGCTTAAATGCGGATTTTCTCTTGACAGTGCCATGTTTGACTGGAGTTTGGTACACAGTAACCAGAGACAGGGTCTTCTTGGTATAATTACCTTGACTGGAACTCCTTCCCCTACTCATATATGAGCAATACTTAGAAGCTTTCAGTGCCAGCTAATGACCTATTTGTTTACCCAGAAGATTGACTGAATTTTGATCTTATTTATTTATTTATACATACATACATGTATTTATAGGCTATCTACAACTCCTGAGGCCTTCCTGGGTGGCTTATAATATAATACAATCTTGTTCTGCTATATCTGTTACTGTTTTCCCCCATTTCATTATTTTTGTCAATGTTGTATTATTTTACTGTATTTTATTGCTTGTATCTTGTATTGGGATTATTTTCTAATAAAAAGTGTGGATATAGCATAGTGTTCAGCATAATCCTACACATGTATAGTCAGTAGAATTTATTTCCAGATTAGTATGCCTTGAACTGATGCCTTAAAAGTATAAACTCCTTAATCAAGCAACCTCAAGCTGAAATCTTAAAATTGCCTTGGTGTGTGTGTGAGACAGTAAATATGCATAGGATTCTGTTGTCCCCTTAAACATGTTTTAGTTTTTAATAAGGGGAAGCAAAATGAGTAATCTGAAAGTACAGTATCAGATATTGCATTTATACAGATTCATATGAGTATTTTAAAAATGTATAAATTAGTGCAAGAACCTACATGTATCTTTTAGCCTTGATAATTTTACAGCATGAACTAGGTCCAGAATAGCCTTTGTACATTAGTAGTAGTCTGTACACAAACTTGATAGAACTTGCCATTACAAATGTATTTTGAAATCCTGAATACTTATTTTAAAGAGCCATTAGATCTTGGCTAGGAGGGCATAAAATGGTTGTCATGTGTTGTATTTTTCTTCAAAGGTGAGGAGGAAAGTCCAGTGTTCGCTTTTCCTTTGCTTCTACGAGAAGATCCAGGGATAGAGAAACTTTTTCTTCATACTTTTTTGTGGAAGCTTCAATGTTTACAGTGTGGCCACCAAGTCAGTGAGAGGTTAGTTCCTTTAGATATTTTGTTTTTTCATCCAACTTCTACAGTACAAGCTTACATTTACATTAAATTCAGTGTGGACTTTATTTTTGCAAGCATGCATGGTGCAGCATTGATGGGGTTTGTGCTTGCCATACATGTTGTTTCACATCCGAGCATGTACTGGAGGGAACCAGCTTTCTCTGTAATACTAGAGAATGCCAGTGTTTTTATTGTGGGTCAGGATTTATTCTACACTCTCCCAATTGTGTATTCAGAAATAAACACTATAAAATATACCAGTACCCCAAGCATGATACACAGACTCTAAGCCCAACCTACCTCACAGGGTTGTTGTTGTGGGGATAAGATGGAGGAGGAGAATGATGTAAGCTGCCTTGAGCCCTTTGTAGGAAAAAGGCAGGATATAAATTGAAAATAAATTGAAATAAATAAATGATATTATAAAATGGGCCCTGTGTGTGCCCTATTCTGTTTCCATTCCATTTTGCCATTATGGAAATGTAGCATGATATGATGCCTTTTGTTCTTAATTGTTAAACTCTTGCAGTAATATGCACACATTGTTTATTCTTTTAACAATAATAGTAATAACCAAAACTAAAATAGTTAGTCGATGAGTAGAAGTAAAATGTCCCTGAAAGAGTTCGAATATTCAGGAATTGCAGGCAGGCTGCAGTATACTACTGATAGGACCCTGAACCTAACCTGGGCTCACTCTTTTGATGACACCAGATTCAAATTAATTCTGAATGTAGACCATTTCTTCACAATACTTTTCTAGCAACTCTGAGTTTGTGTCAATATTTAGCTTTGTAAGCATTTTTCTACAGGAGTGCATCAGTACTTATTTTTCTTATTTGCAGGTGCCAGAAGACTATGACGACATTTACAAATATAATCCCAGAATGGCACCCACTGAATGCAGTTCATATTGCTCCTTGTAATAACTGTAATCACACATCTCAAAGAAGACAAATGATTTTAGAAAAGTAAGTGTGAGCTGAACTAAGCTAAAGTGAATAGCACTACATGAAAAGAGGGCAAATAATTATATATGTAGCTACTGTGCATATTTCAGTTGATTAGTGCTTGAGCCTATTTCTCAGTGTAACATTAAGAATTTTAGAGAGGTTGTGCTGAATCAGAAAAAGGGCCCATCTAGTCCAGCTGCTTAGGCACTTTGGAGGGGCTGTAACTGACTACCTATTTGGAGATTCTGAAAAGTGATCACCCAAAAATAAAAAATATGGGAGCAAGCTGTGGCAAGTGAAAAAGGGCTAGCAGTTAGCAAGAAGAGAAAGAAACAAGACCTACAGGAGGACCAAGGGAGAAAGCGGGAAGACCGCCCATGGTGAACCAGCTCACCTATTGGTTACACCATGAGTTTCAAGAACAACCCAGACTGCTTAGCTTATTGGCAGAGTGCGTTGTAGTGTTGTGAACACACCTTTTGATAACCATATCCTTTATGAATTTGTTCCATTCTCTTTTAAAGCCATCCAAATTGGTGGCCATCACTGCATCATGTGGCAGTGAATTTCATAGTTTAACTATACACTGTGTGAAGTAATTAATAGCCTTATTGGGTCCCGTTGTGTAAGAGCATGCAAGCTAGGAAGCTGCATTCTCCTCAGGGGTCTGTGGTCTGAAAGCACTATCTCATGAGACAGTATCCTGTGTACTCTAAAAGAATATTTGATGGCTCATTTGTATAATGTAATGCTGGATTTTTTGAGACTCTTGTGAAACATTCACAGAGAGAATAATAATAATGGTATATTTAGCTGCTAACCTTGCTGTGTGCTGATGCTGTAATTAACATAAATGCAGATTATTTAATTCTAAAACTGCTAATGATTGTGTTTCTTTAGTAGGGCCCCACCAATACTTATGATGCACTTTGTGGAAGGTTTGCCCCATAATGACTTGATGGCCTACTCATTTAATTTTCAAGAAGATCATTATAAAATAACAACTGTTATTCAATATCAGAAGGATGCAAAACATTTTATAACATGGATTTTGAATTCAGATGGTAAGTGCAGTGCACTCCGTTCTGTCTATATCCTTTTTAAACAGTTACTAGTTGCTATTGGCTAGTAGTTCCAAACTTTTCTTTTCCCAGTATCAATAGGAATAGGAATCAGTAAGGATCATTTCAATCATTTATACCAATAGCAAACTCATTCTCCAAGTACACATCCTTCTGCAGCTGAAATGGCACTATCTGTTGATCAGAGAAATGTATAAGCAGGCTTGGAAGAGCACCAAGGTTTGCAAGAAAAAAATCTCTAAGGAAAAAAACCTGAAGGTGAGGACTCAAAACAGCACAATGAAGGCTGGGAATGCTGAGCAAGTCCACAATATTAAGCACTGCTATTGAGAGGGGACAGTATCTGCTGCCTTGAAAGAGTTGACTGTGCAGTCCCTTCTTAAGAAGTTTACTCTTACGGCACTTGACAACTATCATCCAGTCACAAATATTCCCCTTATGGTGAAGACTCTTGAATAGGTCATAGCAAGGTTCTTGGAAGATACATTAACTTCACCCATTCCACTACAGGTTCAGGTCCAATTGTGTGACCTTGGGTGTCCTGACCTTTACCTGGAAAGGTATAGGAGGAGTGCCCCCCACCCCATTGCTCCTCCTGGATCTTTTTGAGGCTTTTATTATCGTTGCCCATGCCATTCCCCAGGATCAACCTCATGATCTGAATATTGGCAGCACCATTATTCAGTTTTCCAGTCCTATCTGGAAGCTGTCTTGATTTCAACAGTTTTGAGAGGGAGTTCTCATTGGTCCTCTGGCATTTAGGTTGTGATGTGCCATAGAGCACAATTAATCTCCAGTGCTAATTAACATTTACATGAAGTTGTCCTCAGAGGACAATATACTGATGTCACTCAGCTTTATTTCTCTGTAACATCTGAATTGGAAAGTTGTGCAAGCCTTAGATCAGTATCTGGATGCATTCATAGGGTGGATGATGCCCATTAAACTGAGTCTGAATCCTGGCAAGATGGAGGCCTTGTGGGCTTGTGATTTCTGTGTCTAATAATTGGAACAGTTACCTGCTTTACATACTCTTGCATTTCCCTTGAAGGAGCATGTGCGTAAAATGGGATTGCTTGTTGATTCAGTGCTGTCACAAGTGTTCTTTGATTGCTAGAAATGTCTTTTGCCAGTTCCAGTGGGTAGGGTGGTTATGGCTGTTCCTAGACAGAAGGAGCTTGACTACTGTGGTCCAAGCATTGGTAACCTGGGACTGTTCTTCAGGTTAGCGGAGAAACTGCACTGGAGAGGCTCACTGCCAGCTTATTACACCAATATGGAGGGAACTCTGTTGGTTGCCTCTTGAATATTTGGGCAGGTTTAAGAAGTTGATCCTGTTCACAAAGCCCTAAACAACATAAGAAAGAGATACTGATGAAGTTGCTGGAGTTCCCATCTGGCCATTTGGTTGCCGGAGATACCCTCTTTGTGGTACTTAAAATTTGGGAGTTCCAGTCCTTGCTGGTACCTAATAGGACCTTTGGACCATGGAACCGACTTTCCAAAACATTGCATCTGCAGAAGTTAGACAGGTACCACTTCTGGGTTTTTGCTGCCGATTGAACACATATTTGTTCCAACAAGCACCTTGATTTCTGTATATAGTAATAATATGCAATTTTTATGATTTTTATACTATATTGTTCATGGTCCATGTTCATTTTAGTGTAAGCAGTTCATAAATACCAAGAAGTAAATAAAGTGCTCTACTAGATCATGTGAATTAGACCTAAAACAATTAAGCTGTGCCTCTCACACTCTGTAGCGGTTTAATGAATACTTGCTCCATACTTGTAAAAAAAAATGCTGCTGATCTTCTGTAGTGAGTAGAATTGCCTCTGGGCTATCAGGGACAGAAGCTGATGTAAAATGGCAGCAAATTGGTTCTTCCTTTGAGAATGTGAGTGGACTGTGAGTGAGCTATGTAGTCTAAAATGTACAGGCTAGTAGTATAATATCATATTAGAATTTTTGTAGTCATATTTGCAAAGCTGCCTTAGTAAGTGCTGAAAGAGTGTGTGTTCTCTGAAATGAATAAAGTAGTACTCTCTATAAAGCTATAATTAAGAATATCCTAAGATTTTGAACTGTTCATATCTTAATTTCAGATATGTGGCTTGAATGTGATGACTTAAAAGGTTGCTACAGTAGAAGGCATGAGAACTTTGGAGTTCCTCCCGCAGAGATTCATATTATGATCTGGGAGAGAAAGCCATTGCAAGAGACCAGTCAATTGGATGTACATCTACAAAATGGAGAAGCTGTGAACTTTGCGCTTCTTAAAGCCCAAGCAGAATTCCCAGTGAAATGTCTAAATGATGTGACCATAGGCAGTAAACCCCTAATTTGTTATAGTGAGAGTATGTTGAATGAACATACAAATGAAACACAAAATCTAGCTAGCAATAACAAAAGTAGTTTGCTTTGGGGCTTGGAAAACATGGCCCCTGATGATACTATAACCTTGAATCTTGTAAGTGTTCCACTTGACTCAAAAGATAATTCACTAAAAGACTGTTGCACTGTGGAAAATAACCTGATAGCCAACATGGGCATATCACAGTTACAAGCTCCAGGTCAGGTTGATGTGCTTCCAGTTACTTCTGAAGGCAACACTGATAGAAATGAGTACAAATTGCTGAAGAAGACCAGTTCTCCCTTGCATCAAGGTCAGCCAGACAATGCAAGTAACAGATTGATTATGCCAGATGTTCCTCTAAACAGTTGTGGTATTTCACCAGAAACATTTATGCTGCAAGGGGCAGAACATGAAGTTAATCCTGTTCTACCTACAGATAGCAGGTTGGCCCTAGTTAATAACCAACCCAAAACTGGCAGAACAAATTCAGGTAATGGTGTACTGGAAACACCTAAATTTATAGAAAACATAATGGATAATTCCCAGGTCTCTTTTCCATCTATACCAACTAATTCCTCTCAGGCATTCTGTAAGAATGGAATCAAACCATCTGGAGCTAGTTGGTTGAAGGGTTTACTTGGAAAATATCCTTCTTTTATGCCAAAAAGCATCTCAACTTATAAGAAAGCAGAGAGCTCTGAAAAGCCCATTCAAAAAGAAAGCAGGTCCAATTCACTTGTTAAACATGCAAGTCACTTTCGTGGCTTCCAATCAAAATATTCCAAAAAATCAATTAAAAAGACAGAAGGAATGGATTCTTCACATAAATCCTTGCCTCTGGTACCATCTACCACTGCTCTTTTTGGAACTTTCCCAGTCAAAATGCAGACTACTAATGGAAGTGAAGGGACTATAAATAGGAAAGCAGACTCATTGATAAAACGCATTCAACCCCAGCAAGGCCACAATGAAAAAAATTCAACATCTGTTGAAAATGGTGAGACGGCAACTGCTGATAAAACACATCAACTACGTCTGAAACTACTTCAACAGCTTAAAGCTAAAAAGGAGAAACTAGCTTCACTAGATAAACTGGCAGAAGCTCAGGTGAAAACCAGATGCTCTTTCAAGAAAACTAAGAAAGACCAGTCACAGCTTGGATCCCAAAAGGAAAATGAATCTCTGCAGAGCTTGTTAAATGCACTGCAGCACCAGATTGATGTTGAAGAACGCAAATCTCTGAATTCTCCAAGCACCAACACATCCCAGTGCAGCAGTTCAAGTTACGATGATATTTTATCTGAGCTACTGTCTCCAGCTACAACTATTGGTTCCTTGGATATGCCACAAGAAGAAGAATGCAGATACTTGGAAATGGGGGCTGGTAGCCCAAAATCTCCAGAATCTAATGAGAAACCAGATGATGCACAGGACACAAAATATGACCATCATTATTACAGTCCAGTAAGGGAAAATGGACTTGAGGGACATACAGACTTATTAACAGTGAAATCACCACTGAAGAAGCTCAACTTTGGAAGTCCTGCAACACAGGATATTCTGGAAGATCTATTCTCTAGTTCAGTGATGGATTCAATAATGGCTGACACTGATGACTTACATCATTTTGATGAAACTCTATTAAGTTGGTGAATTGTGTTCTAGCAATTTCAGAGTTTACTATTAATTGTCTTTAAAGCCAAGTCTAACATATTTCAAGTTAATTTGCACATGGTTCAGCGTTGAATATTTAAAATGTGAATTTTTTAATATGTTCTTGTTATTGATGAATAAACTGGGTTTGTGCTTTTCTCCAACTGAATATGAGCTAGAAGAAATGAGAGTCTGAGTCTCGTGTCAAATAGAAATGATAATGTTTATTATTTATTTATTTATAAAATTTCTATGCCGCCCCATTCGCCGAAGCCTCGGGGCGGCTCACAACATAAATCAATTAAAATAATATAAACAATATAAAATAAGTTGCCCTAGTTTAAAATAGAACTAAGAAGTCACCAAAAGAAAATGGCATTCAAATATGCAGTTACAGTTCTCTAGAAATACGGAAGAGATCACTAAAATTGATTGTCATGTTTCATGATAGTGTGGTAGAATAATCTAAGATACGTTCATACTTGCATAGCCAAGAGTTTGAAAAGGAATTTTTACACATTTGTTCTTTTCAATCATTGACAGTTAAACTTAGTGGGTTCAGGTGAACATTGGGAAAAGAAGTCACCATGCCCTCTCACGTGCTGTATGATTTACCTAATTGCCCTCATGGTCTGTGGCTTGCTGTGTTGGCCAGGCCAGGAGTGGTGGATGCAGTTTTAAAACCTCCCCCAAACCTATTGTCCTATTCCAGGATAGCTTTAAGCATCCTCTGCACATCTCATTGGGTTTGGGTGGCAGCAAGGCATGACTGCAAGGGTGATTAGGCAAATCACACACAGCATGTGTGGAAGCGGGGATAAGAAGCAGCTGTGGCTCCTTTTCCACAGGATTCTCCATATCTGGCTATAGGATTGTCAGAAGTGGTATCATTCCATTAGCTCAAAACTGTTGCTTGCAGAAACCCCATTTTTAGCCTCAAATAAAACATTGCTGTTCGGCTAGTGCAGGGGTGAACAATCTGTGGCCCTTAGCCTTCATGCAGCCACTGTGGTTGCTCTACAACCCCAGTTCCCACCGTGGTGTCCTGTTATATGGGACACATGAGCAGGAGAGCCTCCCCCATATGCTTTGTGCAGCAGTAAAACATGACTCTTGTCAACCCATTAATCAGCTGTTTGGCAGACTGGCAGAAACCCAGTTCTATATCAGAATGGCTATGCCAGGAGGACTTTCAAATGTGTGTTTCCCAGAAGAAGCTCCCAATCCCATTAGTTAGATTCTGATCATTGAAGAGATTCTAACCTCACCTTCCTCCTAGCAATTACGATTCAAGTTGCTGGGAGTGGGAGGAAGGGAGCATCCATGTGTGTATGTATATGTGGGTGGGTACAAATATGCTGAGGCATTCTGTGTAGTTGGACCTGGGCCTCCAGGATTACCTGCACATATGTTGGTGGTTGTACAGCTGCTATTAGAACTAGTGCATACAACTTCTAGTCTAATGAAGCCATGAACTGTATAGTACATTGTGCAAGTAGAACTTTGGATTTGTCACTTACACTGGGATAAAAACTAGGTTTCCACAAGTAGTAATAGGTCTGTACCAGTGGAACGATACTATTAGATACAACCTATTTTTTACACATGAGAAACTGGTTCCTGTTCCCAGTATATCAACAGATATCTTTAGTGCCTATGCTTTCCACTTACAGAATCATTTTTCACTGACATGTCCCATGGAGAAGACAATTAAGATTCAGCTATGAGATACTGCTGTTCCTGCTACCATGGTACTGCTAAAGTGGGGGTCCTAGTAATCTTACTAAATTTCAGTGGATGCAGGTTAAAGACTTTTGGCCCACAGTTGGGGAAAATGTCTTCAAAAGCTATGAAGGTCTACAGCTTAATTCTGCATGTCTCCTTGTGATCTGTGTTTTAAATAATCCATTCATCCTCCAACCCAGTGGTGTAAATTTTGAAATACTGCACTCATCAAAACAGACCCCTAGCCACAACCCTAAGCTGAGTCCAACAATGCAGGTGGCTGAATTAATCCATATCAGTAAACTAATTGTTGGTGTCTTCATCTCCAGCAAGGAAAGGTCTTTTGTAAAAATTGTTTTAATTGTCTATTGAAGACCAGCTACATGGCCCTCTTGACTCTCTCCCCACCCCTCTTTCTGTATTGTTGCTGGGCAAGATCATTTCATTCCCAACCACTGTGGGACTTGCAGCCCCCTGATCCCTGACTAAATTTTGGATAATCAATGTCTTACGACTTGACATTAAATAGTGCCTTAAGACTTGAGGGCAGATTGGTTGGTCGAAATACTGTACTGTGGTTAAGGGAGCAACTGGAGTGTGAACAGGCCCTAAATAATGGATACTCCTCATCCGGTGCCCTATTCTGCTCCATAGAACATCACTGGTATGGTGGCTTCTCAGACATCTTTCCTGAAAGATCCTAGGTACATCATACAAAAACTAATCATGCAGGTAAGGGATTTCCCCAAGAAAGTATAGATGACATTAGCATCTATCTATCTATCTATCTATCTATCTATCTATCTATCTATCTAAAAACATAGAGGCTGCAACCATTATGGCTAATGTTGCAAGGCTCACATACCAGCAGTTCTTGGGGCCAACCTGTACTGACTGATCCATCCTGTGATCAAGATAGAGTGCTCATTTGATTTTATGCTTTTGCTACCAGTTAGATGTAGTATTTAAACTTGTTTCACTGATGTTGTTTTTATTTATACTTTGCATTATTTGATTATGATTACATGCTACCTTGGGTATATTGACTTGGATCCAGGGCCTTCTGTTCATGGATGAAAAGACTCCTATCTACAAAAGGCTTTGAATCTAGGGGACCATTTTTGCCAGTGGGGTGGTATTTACTGATTGCTCCCTCCCCTTAGAGCCCAAATATATTCTGGAAATCGGTTTTGGAGGGTTTGGGCACCCTCTGGAGCAATGGAAGGTAATGCTAAGAGAAGCAAGGATGAGCACAGAGCACTTCCCTGCCCCCCTTTTTTTTTGCTGACAGGCGCTTTCTGAGCAAACTCCACTCAAAGAATGCTCCTGCTGGCAGAAAAGAAGTTGGATCTAGCCCTGTATAAGTATGATATTAAGTACTGAACATAAATAGATCTGTACTAATAAAAGGATGTGTGCCTGTCTGTCTTCCCATCAGCACTGTAGCACCAAGGCCATGCTTGAGATCCAAAGGGAGCCCTAGGAGTGTCCACCTCATTTTTGTAATTAACATAAATGTATTCATATGGCTGAATACGTTTGCTTCATTTATATTCTGACTTTCCTTCAAGGAGGCATATGCCTTTTTCCTCCTCTCCATTTTATTCTCAAAGTGCCATGGTGGGGGCAGTGCCTGGTGACCCCCCTGGGGGAGTGCTTAGCTCAGAGCAGATGTGGCAACGCGTGAAACTCTTGACACCTGGTAAGCTTTACTCGAAGGGTTCACTGTTCCAAACAAAGGAGTATCCCATGTGAAAGGTTGGGAGCACAGTTTCCAAATAATCCATTGCCACCCCAACAACAATGAGAGGCCATACCATTGCACTACTGAGTTCAGCTTCCTTTAAGCTAGAAGTCCCCAGCCAATGGGAGTCATTTTTAAAGAAGTAAATATACAGCTACTTTTTGTGAGATAAAAACAAAATCTAGAACTGTCATATTAGCAAACTTTCTTTGTTCAGCATCATTGAAGAGGAAGGCCCCCAACCCTCATCAGAACAGCTGTACAAAGGGCAGCAAGGACATAGCAAGTCAATTCCACAAAAAGGGCTGGTCTCTTGTGCATACCATCCTGGCCTTTCTTAACAGTGATCACTAGATCACAATCTACAAGCATGATTATATGGCTGAAGAGTGTCCTTCAAATGGCCTGTCTACCATCAACAATTGTGAAGTCTAGAAGCTTTCTAGAAGTCCAGAAATTAAGACTTCTTTCTTGCTTTTACTGTGTCTTTCTAGCTTTTTACTGTGTCCCTTTAAAAGGTATGGTGCTGGAGGAGAGCAAGAGTTAATCTAGCCCAGTATTCTTTTCATGCAGTGCCCGGTCAGCTGCCCATAGGAGACCCACTGCCAGGAGATGAGCGCAATAGCATCCTCCTGCTCATGCTCCCCAGCAACTCGTGCACATAGGTGCAGTGCCTCGGATACTGGAGGCAGCATACAGTCGTCAGACCCAGTAGCTGTTGCTAGCCCTCTCTTCTACGAATCTGTCCTTTTAAAGTCGTCCAAATTTAGGGCCGTAAAGTGCATTCCCTGTGCGATGTGAAGAAGTCCTTCTTTCCATCTGTCCTGAAGCTCCCACCAATCAGCTGCTTGGGATGCCTGGGAACCAAGTATTATGGAGGGATGTCTCCCTGTCCACTTTCTCTAGACCATAATTTTGTATACCTTTAATCAGTCTCCCACTCCTAAATTGAAATCACAACTCTCTGCCAAAATAAAAATTTTAAATAAATAAGGGGGTTAGGAAATTGGATATCATGTTATCAAGCTTAGCTAAACCAACTCCCATGGGAAAGCATAACTGGGAAACGAATGATCACAGAACAGGACAGGGGTACCTCTGTCACTTTTCAGCAAAATACAAAGTACAATGCTATAAAACATGAACTTTTTATGTCAGTATAGCAGCACCTTATTCGAAGGTTGCTTTTCCAAGTCTCCAGTATGTGACTTTCAGTTTATGATCACTAACACTCTGAAAAGGAGCTGTTTATTTCCTTACATTTTAAGGTTTGCTTTCTCAGAAGGGAGAAGTCCCTGGCTTGAGTACAGATTTACAGTGCAATTATACCTGAAAGAATTGTAAGCTTGTGGAGTGTCTTTGGAGCTGTTGGTACTTGCAGCAATTAAAACTTCAGAAGGAAATACAATGCTCATAACCCTTCTAACAGGCAATTTAATCCAAACCCTTTTCCCTCTCGCTTTTTTGAATGTCACAGTACAGATCAGAGTGCTTCAGTAAATGCATGGGATATGAAAGTAATATGGAGATAAACTGAGGGCACGCTCATAAACAGCAGTGCTGAGAAGCTATTTGCTATAAAAGTACATAACCCTAGGTGGTTTGTGATGTGAACATTTCCCTAGACTTTTAGAGCGTTAAGAAAACTGTTTCCGCCCGGTTTCGAACCGGGGACCTTTCGCGTGTTAGGCGAACGTGAT